GGTCCCTAAACATGTTTTTTTAATTGGTATAAAAGATTTATTAAAACAAAAAAAAATATTCGATATTTAGCGCACAACGTGCTTCTTATATCTATTCTAGTCTGAATTTTAGATTTTCATAACGATGCACAATAAATGCAATTTCACCGATAACAAATCGTGAACCATACGGATTTTAATCACGTGTTGTTATACAACGGAGGTTGTGGGTTCGATTCAACAGCCGTCTGCTCACTCGTCAGTATAAATAAACTGATTTAAATATTTACCCTTGATGTAGATTGCATTGTCATTAGACAATATTTTGATGAAAATAATCCTCCATCTTTTTTCGGATCTGCATCACGACAAAGATCAAAGTTGCCAAGAAATTTATAGTTTAGTGTGAACTCAGCTTCAGGGGAAATCTCTCCAAAAGAGTAAAACACTGAAAACAACAACAACAAAATATCAAAAAACACACGAAACACAGTTCATTCTGTTGTTAGTCAAAATACCAAATGTGATATTGCGAGAAAAGCTATTCTCTGACAGATATGCATAGCAGATAATTGATGAATACGCAGTTTCTCTGAGTCGCGTCCATAGTGACAACACGCTCCCATGACGTAATTGAGTGCAAACACGCCGTTCACATCATCGATATGGTTGCAGTCATCCGCTAATAACAAATAGATAACATTTTAAAATACGAAAAAATATATAATCAAACATTATTTTAACAACACTGTTTACACCCATCATGTTGACGTCACAGAAGCACTCGTCACCAGAGGGCGTCGCTATATATGAACGGTTTATTGGAATCAGCTCAGCGTTTAGATTTAGATATTTACAACTTACAGTCCGCAACAGCAATGGCAGAAAATATTCCATCATGTGAGGTATGTTATTATGCCCTGAGCAGTTATTTACCAAGATAATTCAAGATAATCCCTTATATATAAATATTTTACACATAAGATTACTCGTCTCTATTTTTTTTTATTAAAGAACAGATAATACTGATCCAACCACAGCCGCGTGACGTTAGTCAAGTGAAGCCTTCGATTCCCTGCTGCGATAACATATTAGTATGTGTTCATTATTAAATTACAATGTAATATTACTCTATTCTATGAGTTCCCCCAGTCATCGATGTACATTATACGCCATTACATAACTGATAAATATAGCGTTGCCAGCGGCTTATTACGCAATGCATTTTACATTCGACACCTTCCGTGGTGACCCTAATGTGCTTTCATTTTCAGATATTAATAATAATGACTAAATATAAATCACACTGCATATCAGAGTGTTGTACATAGTTAAAATGACAGTAGAAATGGGGTTATTAACAGGGTAAAGTGCGGTAGTCGTCGCGCCACGCATGCGCGAGATATATGGGTCTCATACAAACAAAGATGGCGACTTTGACTGTCGCGGAGATCAACGAGTACAAACTGAGAAGTTACTAAGCTGTAATTAGGTATTTTCAGATGATAGGGTGTATCGAAGGAGTCACCGGCGGTAATAAATGCAAGTCGCGCCCAGGTCAATCCTCATACTGGTTTCTATTAGAAGAGCGCATTGAATTGTGGGAAAATCAATGTTTATCAACACAAATGTCGCTCATGCGCAGCGCGACGACTATCGCCCCTTAAAGCACACAATATAAATTGGATTAATAAGAATATATTAATTAATAATTTCAAATGGTCGGTATAAAAAGAACAGTTTTTATTGTAGCTGTGATGAGCACGGACTTAGTGACATGTGGTAAAGATGAAAACAGCGTTGTCTATATATACATTTGGATTAAGTATGAAAAGTATGGAAAGCTGAAATCCTTCTAAAATATCACAATCAGTCTCCTAACAGTCCACGTTCGAAACAATTAATTAACTATTTGGGTCTTACAAGTACTGATAAATAAAACACTTTGAAGTGAGATTGAAGTGGCCATCATTGTACACTTGGTTATAAGCGATTGGTGCATTGATTTTGGTTATATCCCATTACCTTGAGGGTAATCTGCCCGAACTCGTGCAGATGCCGAACTGAACCTGTACTACGAGGCGCGTTTGCGTCAATCCTAACCATCGTTCAGCATTTTGCTATACCATAGTCTACGGCATTTCGGTAAGTCTTCCTGACCTTGGTCACAGTGTCAGTGAATAGACGGGTGTATAGATAATGATTGTGTCCACTTTCCATACATATACAACTATAGTAATTGCTGAACTTTGACCCCGACCTCACACAGCAAAGTCGCTGTCCATTGACTTTATCAGTGGTAAGCCACCTAATTCCGAACGACGCCCACTTGTATACGTATAATCTATCCTTCCACCCCGGACATATACCCCTTACCCATGTTCTTTGACATTAAAAATAAATCCCCGCCGTTGCACGTTAAAATGACGGTGGAAAAATCACAATACGTTACTTACTTTGCCTTGCATAAACCTTGCCAGCTTCATAATCTCGAACTGACGAGATCGTATCGTTAAGACACACAGCACTAGCTTCACACGCGCTAACCCCACTGCAGTTTCTACTAGACAGGTTGGTCAATACCGTTGGTATCTCACGTACAAATACATTCGTGATCGCTGAAAGACTCTGTCCTGCGTTGACGGCGTTTGCACTCGCGTCATAGCTTTCACTCAAACAAATTAAACAAAATATGTCAGACAGGAATAACAATCTCACTATCGAATGAGCCATCGTTCTGACAGTTAATGTAGCTGTAGTGGATGAACGCTATTATCATGCAAAATTCTATGCAAGGTTTTAAACGCACAAACCTGCGTCGCGGCACGTTTAACTATGTGACGAAAGCTGAGTTCATGATTGGCTTAGTTGCTTGACGAGTACTTGGGAGTTTTCCATTTGATATATGGGGGTGGGCTGCAGGATTTTGTAAAAAAAATGTCGTATACGAAGAAAAAAACATTAGCAAAATTGCGTAATATAATTAAAGTAGGAGGATCAATGTGTGAATAAACAAATTATCTTCATGTTTTTATGCCAGTATTTACATCAACAAAAAGTCCTCTAACCACCCCCGATTTCCTTTTGCGTTTATCCATTAGAAATATGAAATATTATATTATGATTATAATATGCTTCGAAAATTACCTGGAAAGGCATGTGACTGGTTGATATACTGTGATTAATTCAGATTTTTATGAAAGCCTCAGTAAACATATTTTTAGCGACTGAAGATTGGATGACTAATTTTAGCGAACCTGAGCCATAATTATATTAGCAATTCTATATAGTACTTTGAACATGTGGTCAAAAGAGGGCGAAGTATATTTTATTAATGGAAATCAAACAAAATTGAGATCGAAAGCGTCATATTTACAGTTTTAGAATTCAGCAAAGTTATATGTTTTGATTTATATACGATAATAACTCACAAATAACCACAGTTCTAGATGAAAGTAAGCGATGGAAGTAATTTAAGAGCAAATATTATTGTTTTTCATCTCATGTTGCTATCGTTTCGTTTACTACCTAGAAACAATGCATCTGGTGTCTGGTTAACATGTATTTTAAATTACACGATGTTTGGTTTTAAAGCGGTAGTCATCGCGATGTGTCGAGTTCGGCGTGAGTCCAACTCAACATATTCAACGCGTGTAAAATATATTGTTTGTTTACATGGAATTCAAATTCGCCCTGCATGAATGGACAATACACGAGTTTAAAACGCAGGGACTATGATCATATATAAACATAGAGAAATTTAGGCAGTTCTAGTCTAGACTGAATAAAATGTCATTTTAGTTTGAAATGTTTCAACGATATTATAAATCATATCAATACTACTACTACAGAGACGGCGGCACGATATTCTGCATGGGGAGGGCAAGATCTGCTCACCAACCTCGGGGCACTCTCCCCCTTAAACATGTTGAAATCTAGACCCTCTGAAACGCTATTTCCTGCATTTTGAGGGGCAATTTTTGCTGACACAAATAGGTTCCACCTTGATTTTGGAGGGGCGACGTCTCCAACATTTTTTTTAAGTGAGCGACCGACCCCCTCTGCCTCCCCCTGTACCGCCGCCACTGATATATGACTTTTTCATCCCATATCGTCGATCATGATGGTAACAATTTTACCATAGGAACTAATGCAAACCAGTTTCCATGTAACCTCTAACTCTTGTTTCACTAAAAAGTGTCCCGAGACCCCAATTGTTTTTATTTTCAGGAGCCTATTGGCATTTACCAATAATTATAATAAACAACTGGGGACATTGTTATAATATTTTAAATTCGGCCTGAGCCAACTTAAACTGATTTATTGTGACTAATGACAAATCATATATATTGTAACAGTTGTAGAAAACGTGTGCACTCAGGCCTTGAAAGTACGACTGTAAGTGATAAATAACATAATGGATAGATACAAATAACAAATATTGTTATCCCATAAAAAATTCTTCACATTGAAATGAATATCAGTTGTTGTTGTTGCTTATTAAAGCGGTCGACCTGCGCACGCGCAGGAATTGAGTCCCAAGCGACGATAACAACACATGCTAAAAACGCAAAGGCTCACGGTCAGACGCTTGTTTGTAAACAATGACACGCTATGGCCATCTGACGCATGCGCAGGTGACGAGTCCCCCGCTTTAAAGAAATTGAAAATGAGCAACACTTCTTGCTGTCATGTCAGTTATACATTAAGGAAAGAGAAAGTTGGTTAAAAAAACACAACATTTCTCAACTTGAAGACAACAAAAAACAGTTATTAATTAATAATATAAACAATAAAAATGAAAACATTATAAATGATGTGGCGAAACACATTTATTACTGTTGAGGAATTTACTTAATATATGAGAAATTCAATTAAAAATTAACTGCGTAAACCAGCTAATTAAGAAAATACAAACTAACCAGCTTTTCTATGTTTAGAAATGTGAGCGTCTTATTTGTGATTTTTTCCTGTATTGTTAGTGTAGGTTATTTTTGTATTTATATCTTCAGAATTTATTACTTTATTACGATAGCATTACATGTTTTATTCTATTCTTGTTAAAGGGCGGTAGTTGTCGAGCTGCGCATGTGCGACATTTGTGTTGATGGAAATCACAAGTATGAGGTTTGACCTAGGCGCATCCTTCGATACCTTCCAATCACCTAAAAAATACCTAATTAGAGCTTAGTAACGTCTCAGTTTGTACTCGTTGATCTGCGCAACAGTCAAAGTCGCAATCTTTGTTTATATGAGACCCATATATCTCGCGCATGCGTGGCGCGACGACTACCGCCTTTTAATACTACGTGCAACTAATGCGCAATGGCGAGTAAATAACTACTGCGTTTTACCGAGTGGGTTTAACAGGTGAATGGAAAAGCGTCTAAGGTATTGTTATTGGAGACATGTCAAAGGTGAGAGAGTTTGAGTGCATTTCCATTTGTGTCTTTCCTACTAACACGAATGGGAGCATTTTACTGAGTGCTACTGACGTCATCAGGTATTTTTACATTTTATACTCCTTTTAAATGTGACGTCATCATGCATATAATCGTACGGAGCAAAATCAGTGCAGTATACGACTAAACATTAATTGAAACGGTGATTTTAATACACCCTGAAAGGTTAAGGGCAGTGTCACAAAGAAATAGAATACAATCGTTTACTAGCGATCACACGCAACTAAAGTTTCAAGTGCATGGCGTGAAAGGTGCGGAATGTGGGATTTGGTAAGTATACATTGAGTGTGGTCAAGAACAGGACGTGAATCTCGGATGGGTTTAGGTACATGATATGAGAGTATGGTCGCGGACAGTACGTGAGTGGTGCAACAGGTTGCTTCTGAAATGCGGCAGTTGTACAATCTCTGCCGTTGCTGCAATGACACTTTTAAATCTGCCTGACCTTATAATCGTGACATGGGAGCTGACTTACCAATTACCAAGGAACATGATGAGATGCACAAATTTGTCTGTATTTTTTTTGTTATCCGTGTTTGCCCAAACTGCTTTATTTATTTACTTATTGTTTTTTTGTTTTTTTTTTCATTTTGGTTGACGTTATTTCAAATTTACAACTAATTACGATAGTATTCATTTCACTACACAGTATTGCCAGTCTGACTGTACGTGTTATATCCACTTCGTCATTCCACGGGGTATATGCATTACTGATGAAAATGGAAACAACCACAACTACATTTGTAAAATATAGATCTCAAATTGAAAATATGGTCACTCATTTTTGTCAGTAGAATTAAAGTAAGATTAATGAGTCACCGGAGACTATGTCATTAAAACTATTTCTGAACATACAAAGATGGAGTGATACCATTTTTTTTGGAGGGGGGGGGGTGCGACATCCAGGCGTGAACAAAAAAAACCTGTGACACTCAGAACCAAAAAAAATAATATTTATTTTCTGGGCCTATATCATACACAGTCAATTAATTGTCTTACACATGTTTTGCCCACAGCTTTCAATTCTCCGTAAGAGTGATTCGTCATTGGAACAACCTTGTGAGAGGGTGCGGCTAGAAAATAGAAACACTTTACTTATAAATGGAACACCATTCATGGCCTTTGAATGCAACCCATAAATGCAACGAGAAACGAGAGGCGAGAAACGAAACAGCACAAAAACTGCATCCCTGTTCGTAATTACCGAGCATCATACCTTTGGTGTAGCACGTAAATGGAACAGCCTCCCTTGGGGGTGTCACTCGTAAATAAAACAGCATATATTGCGCTGTACGTCAAAAGTATAACAGACTTCTTTGGATGTAACTTGTAAATGGAACACGTACGTTTAACACCGTTGCACGTCGTATCTGAGTTGCAAGTGTGTCACAATTGTAGATTTCAATAATGCAACCATCTAAAAGAACACTCCAGTGGCTCGGAATATTAATTATATCAGGTAATATTAATCAATTATTTCCTTATGTTTAGAAGTAACACACTTTCCTCGTGGCTAAGCTGTGTTTTACCTAGCTATGGGGTCATAGCTCTACTTGTGTCTTTAGTCTTTGTGGTGGTATTTTAGTCACATGTGATATATTTGGTGTCATTACTTTTTATATTTTTAAAAATAAGGATTGTTATCGACACAGAAGAGCTATGGCTCCTCCCATAGACTTGCGTCACACAATCGTGCGACGCCAAGTCGATAAAAGCACACCATTTTATATGGCACGCAACAGAAACTGTCACCGACCAATAGTATGCATGTTTATTAAACACTCGCCAGCGCGAAAACTGTAAAACAAATACCTGTTTGAAGTTGTTTTTCCCGGGATTTAGCTTGCTAAACTGTACGTAATTCTAGTAACAGCCATGAGGTCGAACGAGAACAAAATTATTTGGCTAAATGACGTCACTGTATTAGAAATTTCCTCGTAAAGTGGAACAGCTAAAACGCCGCCAGGAAATGATCGTCTGCTACTATTAGTATTTTGTCAGATTTTGTTATGGACTTCGTGGTATGTACTGTTGTTGTCTATTTTCCCTGCGTCCTACATGCATGGAAAGACATTTATTTGTACATTTCTCTAAAAAAAACAACAACTGTGGACAGTATACGCATGCATCTAAAGTAGACGACGACGAGTAGTATCCAACAAGTTATCGGGAATACATGTGTACCTTCTCCAGTGACGTCATATTGTTCTCGTTCGACCTGAAGAAAATGGCTGCAGCCGGAGTTACGTGTGGTCCAGGGGACTAAATTCC